TGCTAGATACACAACACAACAACACAACACAACAAACTGTTTCAGGGCGGTATCGCGTCGGGCGGTGGGCTCTGCTGTAGCTTCTGCTCCCCGCTGTAGCTCCACAACGAGAGACTCCCACAGGATGACCAGGGTAGCGGCTTGAAGCTACGGGCTAGCCCTTCAATTCAAGCTACACAGCAAGCTCCACCTCTCAGTGGTAGTCCGGCTACAGCGTATCGCGCAATCTCGCTCTCAATCAGATGCTACGCTCTCAATCAGGCGAATATGTTGTTCTACTTGTTAAGAGTGTTTTTTTTTTTTGAGGGCGCCATCGCGTTCGCCTGCTCAAACCCCGCCGATATCAACCGAGAAACAAAAAAAAAACGGCATGATTACGATCGTGGTTATCGAGATATTGGACGAAACGTTTCATCCCCTCCCTCCCGAAAACACCACGAAAAAACTATACGAAAACCACGAATACTCGGGCCCGATTTCTCAGGAACGTCTCAAATCGATTTGGTCCCTGAACAACTCTTGTGGCATTTGCGATAATAATGGAGATCAATACTAAAAAAAAAATTGATGAAGTTATGGCCGGTCAACTGAAATCGGCGGGACAATCGGTTCCACTGTAGACCCAAAATCTGAATATTCTCCCCGATATTTTGTCGTTGACCCAGTCAGTAGTGAACTACAGGGGATGTATTGTAAAATGTAGATTTACCTATACAGATGTTTTTGTACTTAGCACCAGCTGGCATCACTGACACACCCGGTCGCCCCGGTGGTCTAGTGGGTAGCCTCGCAGCCTGCTAAGGGCCAGGTCATGGGTTCGAGTCCCGACGGAGAGAGTTTTGTTCTCACTAAATAAATCCTGGTCTCGGATGAAAGCGATGCGCTGCAAAGCTCGTTGTTAGTAAACCATAGTCGACTTCGTAAGTCGCGAGGGAAGGGATTGCTGTACCCTTCTCGCGATAAAAATACCTCAGGCATGAACCGCAGGAGGGGGTCCAACCCCCCCTCCTATGTGACCCCGGTTGGGTCGTCTAGCTAGTAGAAGTGGAGGATAGGGGCCAGAGGGGCAGACGACAGAGTCCTATGATGGGAGAAAAACAAACAAAAGAAAAAACTGATAAATCATCAGTGTATAGACTTATAAAGACTCGAAATAAGTCCAGTACCCAGCCGGTTTTCCTCCACTTACTGAAAAGACTCCCACCACATCCCGTTCGACTGTGGGTATATCTCGAATGGGTAGTCTTTCTGTGCGTGTATTTATTTCTCCTTAATATCACCCAATCACCTCATCACCTCGCGGCTCGCGGGGACGTCATGACAGTCCCGTGGAACAAAGGCGGCGCGATTGCTATTTGCCAAGTCCCCTGTCGTCTGTCGTCGCCACTCCCTACTGCTGTACAAGTGTACAGAACAATTCCGTGCGTTGTGCTGGTGTTGTGTGCTCGTGGGGAAGCTATATCTGGGAAGCACATCGGAACGATAGTGGTAAAGGCTGCAGAAGGGGCAGTATCAGAGACTATGCGTCGTGATTAATTAATGCAATTCACGCTCCGGCCCTTGAATGCGGCAGCATCAGCGGGTTGCTGCACCACAAGGCCTGCGACGGCTGCTGAGGAACGAGGGAAAGACGAACATGACCTACTCTCGCAGGGTAGAGCCCATGTATACTTCAAAGCCAAGCCTAGTGGACCTGGAGGGGGGCGGAACCGATCTTGCCAACTCAAAGACAACGGCAGCGTTGTGTCGTCCCACGATGCCTCGTTTGAGCTTGGCTGCTATCGTGGTTCTCTTGCAAGCGGCGGCGATTCTGGGGCTCTTGGTTCGCCTTGCTCTTTCTCGAGATCGCTGCAGAACTGCTGCTGCTACCGAGAGGTAAGCAAGAAATGCGCTGTTGCTGTGTATCTGCTGCAAACCGGGCTGAGAAGTCTGTCTTTTGATGAGTCACGTATGCATAGCAATGGCTGTGTTGTTTCGCGTGCATCCAAGATTAGACTATGCTGAAAATTCAGCCGACTTTGTAGCACTGCTGTTGTGTACACATAGCGCCCAACCTCTGGGCCAGTAGTTTTGACGGTTAGTGAATCTTATTATCTACAGGACCGTATCTACACGCCCTCTCATTGGTCGGGCGTTGGCCTTAACGTCTCCAGCGCCCTCGCCGTTCCGCATTCCGAGAACGAGGTGCAGCCGTAGGTTAGGGTTAGAGGGTTAGGGTTGGGTTGAGTTGGGTCGGCCATGGTGTGCGTCTCATTCAAGGTGCGAGCCTAGCCTTTAACATCCGGTTAGACCTAAAGAGTCACGAACATACTCTAAATCTCCTCTTTGTAAGGGAATGGCAGACAATTAATTTTGACGTTGACTAATTTTGAAAACCAAGAGCACCAGAAATACACAGTAGACACACAAGACCCGTCGGAAGGCATCGCGAAAACAGAAACAGTCGATTCTCGCACAGGGCGGCAGTAGAGACTGTTTCAAACCATATATTTGACGCGTCTACCTCCACACGCCCCCTTTCAAATCAAGAAAAACTTCTCGCAATTCTAAATTGAAGTCAAAAGAGCCAAAACTGCAGGCGCTCAAACAAGGTTGGTGACGCGAATTTGCTGTTGCGTTCTTCTGTCATCAGTAGAGGACACCAGAGACGTTATGTGTGCTGGCACATTCAGGTTTGCTGCTGAAGCTGAAATATCGAGGGCCGTGGTAGTAAATAATGGCCTATCTGCGCAAATCCCCCCAAATGAGACCGACACCCAGTGCCTTGTACTCCTTGTGCTCGCCGCCACTGACCCCAATCTCCTGAACTGCGCGTTTACAGCAGTAACTGATGTCACAAGCTACTGCTGACAACCGTTGGTTCAGGGGTTTACGGTCCGTGGCGGTGAGCATGGCTGTCACAAATGTTGGATTCCGCTTGGTTCCGACGCAGATTTCGGGCTATTTTCAGAGGCTGCTGCGGCATTCGATGTTTCAGCTCCAGCACAGCAAACCTGAACGTGCCAGCACGTACGACGCCTCTTCACGGTGTAACAGCAGTGTTACAGCTATCTAAATGTAGTTCACCTGTCGTGTAGCCTTACGTCCGCTGGCTAGAGTTCACCTTAGTTGGGGGGGAACTAGCTACAGGGTGACCCAAATCTACCTATAATTAATGAACGACCTACCTACAACTGATTTAACAGCAATTATGGTAAGATCTAACGAGGTCAATCGACTCATAGTCGTTGGTGATCACAAGTGGTGCGTCCTTAGCAATTAATAGGTTCCTCTTCTTGAGTTTGGACGTGTGAAGGGTCGAAACACGAGTTGAGCAGAGCCATGAGGATGCTCCGCATTTCCTTCAGGTATCTTTGAGACATACCCTAGCCCTCCCCGGTCTACCGCAAGGTCGACCGGATCTTAGTATTCGGGTGCCCTTTCTGCTGCTTTGACAACGGTGTCCTCTACTGATGGCAGTAGAACGAAACAGCTAACCCCGGCGGTAAGGTTATTTCCCTCTTTGTATTGGATTTTATGTATGAGAAACGAGCCAGCGTCAAAACCACTTGTTCTTTGAACCCTGAAGACAATGATTTTGCTTTGGAAAAAACGAACTCTAGGAATTCGAACACCATTTGTGAGCCCGGTGAACTATCCTGTACAGCGGCCATGTGTAGCCCGCCAGAGGAGAGCTAAGAACCCCAGCCCCCGCCAGAATTAGAGGCACAGGCGCTATCTGTATGTAGTGAGCGAAGTACGAAGTTCCGACGAGGCTACTCCACAGCTACCATACACAGGTAAAAGAATTTCTCACGTCGCCGGTACTTGGGGGTAAGTGTGGGGCAAGAGGCACGTGTGGACATGCCGCAGTAGTCTCAGGCCGTCCATGTCTCACTGGGCCCTCAAACAGGTAGGGCTATCCTGGAGGCTGCCAATGACGCCTGCACGACCAATCTGTGTTGCTCTAGAGGTTGAAAATCCTCCTATTCTGTTATTCCGACGCCGAGGGTGCTTTTCTGCTTCTCCGAGTAAGGTGTCCAACTTTTCCCCCATCCTACTATATAGCGGCATCACGTCGCGAACAGCAATAGACTAGAATTCTAGCGCATATCCTGTTGATGTCATGTACCCTGTTCTCAGCGACATCCCCGGGAGCTATTGATCTTGGAATCCAAACATATCATTGGGACTCCCGCCCATAATTTTCAACCACCGTTCAGGTGGAACACGAAACCGTGATCTCTGCTGGCACCAGCACACCGAGACATGCAGGCACCCTCTACCTATTTACCGATTTACGTAGTTTTTCACCGAAAGGCGGTTTTCGCGAGACGAGGGAGGTGGGGCAAATACAGCCCTCACTACTTACTCACCCGCGCAAGCGGGTGAAGGTGTTTACGACGCCGACACGACAACTATTGATGCACTATCGTTTGTTCCTCTCAGCGTGAAAGTGTCATGGAGCGAAAATGTCACCGCCGCGAGGCCACTGGCAATCGAGCCTTCTAGAAAACTCAAGCGCGTGAATCTTTGCGATTGCCGGGGTCGTACGATAGTCCGAACTACGGGTGGTGCCCACTTTAGATGGACCACGTGGATGACCACTTTCTCCAATCCACCACGGCCGTCGCACGAGTACCAGTAGTCACGTCGAAAACCAGTATTGGCTTCTACATCACAAGCTGTCAAGTCAACACCCCAGCCCACTACCTTGCGCGCCTGCCCGTTCCCAACCGCCGCTATAAAATGTCCCTTCTCACCACAAAATTGCAGTTTCCGCGTTGGGCCGCGAGTGGTCTTTGTTGACAGCCAAGCATCGAAAGAGCTGACGCATCTCATAATGGTGCCGTGCCACGGGGTAACGGTAACTGAATCGCTGGAGGGTGCGGACAGCAGAGACGGCGATTGGTTCTTGCTAGACTATCAGAAGGGGAAGGACGTCCCCCGTGCGTTAGTGGGCCACATACAGGCTGGCTTGGACGCGCTGGATGCTGACGAGAACTCGCTGCTCCTTTTCTCGGGTGAGTCGTTCACCGGCTACACGCCCCCCCCGGAAATGTGGCGTCGTGAACGGTTCTCTTTTTCTGTGGCGCACTCGTCGTGGTACGCGAACGAATGACGAACGAAGCCCGCGTGGATACTCACGGACGACGCCGACGACAAAAGTACTGAGTTCAGGTCGGGCGGTATGCACTCCGTTGTGGTTTTCGTCCGGCTGATTTCTGCTCCCATCTTTGCGCAACGACGTGTGTTCAACTACGCGTGCGTTGTGCGCCCTGACGTGGTCCCGCCGTCCACCTACCTCGTGTTCGATGCGTTTTGGGTCCTGCTTCCCGCTCCGGTGTTGGTGCTGCTACAAGGCGGCAAGACGAGAGGGCCCGCGGGACCGAAGAGCGAGGGAGAGTCGTATTTCTTCGTCGCGGACCACTACGACTGGTGGGGCAAGCCGGACTTGAGGGCGAGAGCTTCGACCGAGGACTTCGCACGGGACTCCTTCGAAAACGTTTTGTTTTCCATATGCAGGTGTTCTATTTGGTGAATGCTCTGTACAGGCGGAACGGGCGGGGAATTGGCGTGAACGATAGGCGAAAGACATGGAGGACCTGGTCGGATGTGATGAAAAGAGCCTGCGGATGCCGCCACAAATTGGACGGCTTGTTGCTGTTGAGTTGTTGCGATGTGTTCTGAACCCGGGTGCGTGCGCGAAGTGGACAAAAATGTCGCCCAGATGTGTGAATGATTTGCAAGTCCTTGACTTAAAAAGGGGTAACCAGGAATAAGACACCGCAGCAAAGAGTACCAACACCTCCAAACGCCCCATGTGGACGTCGGTTTTTCGGCTGGTGTATACAGGAACAAGAGGGGGAAGCTTCTTCATCCCATCGTCGCAAATTAATCACTTGCGAGCCTTCTTGTCTGTTGCCCTCCGTTCCCCTGCCGACAACATCCAAAGGTTCAAAGAAATCACCGGCGACTACCCCACGAAGATCACCGTGGTGGGTTTCGACTTCAAGCAGGACCGCTTTGAACATCTGCACCTGCCTTCCCTACGGTTCCCGCCGGAGGCGTTCCGGTACGTGGGATTACACCCCGAGGGGCGGTTTGACCACGCTGCCGCTGCCGAGGGCGAACGAAAGTCGGCACTAGAGCCATACCGATCCGACCCGTATGGCTGCGCCGTTGGCGGCACTTTAGTGCAGAAACGACATTCGCGTGATCCTTTCCACAGAACACCACCATATAGCATGGTGTGCCCGGAAATGTCCGCACTGTTGGGGTGGTGCGAGACTGAGCTCTTCACGGGCGACCTACCGTGGTCGCCGGCGGGTGAGGAGAGAACAGAAGGGTCCGGTGTGCGCGAAAGGCTTCGAAGATAGGGCGGGCGGTGGCGGAGGAAACGTTAAGGATGCCTTGCGACGGTCCCCCTCTCGCATGGGGGGGTGTCACTCGCCTCGGACACTGCTTGGGGAGTGCTACCAAACCAAGCGGGTCCGCCTGCCCCTCGCTCCACGCGTGCAAGCACGGAAGCCGACCACATGTGTAATGTGCTCAACTACTCACCCTGGTCATGAGGGAAATCTGACTTCGCTTCATAGAATTCAAGAAGCTAAACGCCGTTTCGTACTTACGGGCTCGTCACCACCATGACAAAAGTCACTGTCGTCGCCTTGAAGGAAGGAAGTTGACCACGTTGTCACTACTCCCAAGCCCTCCTCGTCGCCTTCCTTACTCGCGCTTTCGACTTCGCGACTGCAACAGCGGTGGGGAAATGTGCGACAACAGTGCCTACGCTTCTCCCTTGCGCCTTGTATTCCTTAGATCTCCGACTGCCGTAACTGTTTTTTGCGAAACATATTTTTTGTCGCCCGGCTAGTCGTCCGGCTTCCTGCTCCTCTTTCCGGCATCTCGAGTGTCGGGATGGTTGGTTGTAAGCGTTCTTGGTGCAGGGGGTGAATAGAGCAGGCTCAGTGCATAGCGTCGTTGTGGATGGCAAGACTAGCTTGGTAGTCGTCACGTTGGGTTCCAGTTCCTCCTCGATGGATTGCAGTATCGCCCTATGGGTTCGGAGGGCGAAGATAGGTGGCGAATAAAGGCTACTGCCAAGGCATTGACATTGTGTTGTTGAACGGGCGATTGAGCTTTCGGAACAATGCCATTTGGTGGTCGAGTGCTGCGCGTCGCGAAATCTATGAGACAAGCACCCAACATATGTGGCGTACCGACATGTCGGGCAACGCGCACTCGGCCTGTATCGGCTTGGCACGTCGACAGCGACACCCCGGGACCGACAGATGCTTTATCCGTGTGCTGTTTCCCTCTGGAACAGACAAATAGATTTTTCGAGCTGCGGATCCTCCATGCAACATTACTAGCGCCTGCTCACCTGGCTTCACGGAGCTCTCGGTCGGCCTCGAGTGTGGAATCCTGAGCACCGAAGTCTTTTTTGCCACCATTGTCGTTATCGCAGCTCTTGAAGCCAAGAGAGGAGAGCGGGCTCTGTTTGGTCGAGCGCGATGTTGTTTCTATCCGCAGGGAGTTAGTATCCAGGGCAAGGTCTGTAGCGCCTGTCCGAGACTTCCACAGAGGAACCTGCTGTTGGTAACAGACCAAACGCATTCATATTGAGTTGATTAATTGTTAGCAATTACCATACATGGTGCTTGGGCTCGGAACCTGGATACCAAGTTGAAGTCTTAATCCTCAGCTGGTTTTTATCGCGAGAGAACCGTGCGGTAACCGTGACGATGCTACGTGTTTACGTCTTGCGTCAGCCAACACTACTCAACTACTCAACTACTCTTTTTCACGACCTATTGATTGTCCGGCCGAAGTTCGCGCATGCGTTGCATCCAACCCCGCAGCCGTAACCTACGAAACATGTCTCAGTCGGTTTCACCTGAGGTATGGAGCCTGGAGAACGGGTGGGGGGCAACGATCTATGTGTCCGGATGTCCAAGAGGTCTCTCGCGGCAAGTTCCGCTTCTTCCTGGGCTTCTCTCTGATAGCCTTCGATCACCTATTCCACACAGCCAAGTATCACTCACGTGTGGGTGGGCGAAAGTACAACCGCGATTGCCAGAGCACCATGACAGGATTCTGGAAGAGGCGGGCGAGCAACACCCTTTTTCCACTCGTGTTTGGTTGGCTCGAACCAGCGTGATTGTCGAAGCAGGTTTCGTTTTCTGAACTTGGTCTTGGAAACTCGTGGGTAGCACTTACCTCTCGATCGTGGCATATTTCCTGATCGAGCTGGTCGAGACGGCCGCCCACGTCAGCCAATCGCTCGCCCAACGACCCAAGACCCTCCCATAAGGGATCCAAACGTCCCGTGCGCCCCTGCCCCCGCCCCTCCGATTCGTCTCTGCTAAAGCGGTGATCCATGAGTATGGGATCAACTAAACCGTTGTCCACGTCCCCCTGAACATGTACTGGCGACGTGGTGTGCTTGGACTGACGACAATGGAGCACGGCATAGCGTAGAAGGAGTTGTTGAAGAGGGGTTAGGGTTTTCTCCGCATCACCCCGTTTTCGAAATCATGGATGTGCGCGGGTGCTGTTGTCACAGCAGCGGTCATCAACATGTGTGCACCGCCTGTTCTGTTGTTGTGGGTGGGCAGTGCATCAGCCAATCAATGCACCTGCTAAATATATGTGCGATTCACCCGTGCTCAAGTATTGACTGTAAAAGGAGACAAAGTCGCGTATCCGACCACTTGTCATAGGACCTACTGTAGATGTAGTGTAGCCGGAATATAGAAGAAGAGAACGATTCGTTCTAGACGATGCGGAGAGATGTAACTCCACGCGGAAGGATAGAACAGGGGACAGGATCTAAATGGTCCCCGTTGTTGTCAGTCCTCTACTTTGCCCAAGGCAACAGCAACAGCTGCTGTTCTGCACGAGCTCTTAATAACAAGTGCGTTCTTCTTTACGAGTCTTCCAGATTGCACCACGCGTGCATACCTTTACACTTGGCGTCGTCGGCAAGACTTTACACATTCTGGTCGGCCGCCGTATTTTCCACCAAACTTGCCTGGTTGCCTCTATGACGCAGTGGCAAGACACGCTCACCTGCGAAACTGACGCGACGGTGTTTCTGTCACCAACCTCGTGGGACCCCTCCGTAAAGTCGGTAACCTTTAGAAACCGCCTCACGGTTCGATTGGATGCATCGTTCCGCCAATCCTGGCCTAACTCTAGGGGAAGCATCACCACGGGTCCAGGCGCTGCGAGAAAAGTGTGTGCACATTTGGGGACGTCAGAGACGGGGTGAAGAGTTGCACCACAAGCGCTCCACCCCAGAAAGACAACGCAGGCCGACGTATTAGTCTGTTGTTGTGTTGTTGGGTGATTTGGCGGTTGCATTGGCTTCGTCTACTTTCGCGAATAGCCGAGGTGCCGAAGCAACGGAAGCTTAAAACTCTTTTCTTCCATTGCCTGAGTACTCCGAAACGGCGAATACAAGTCACAAGCAAAAATGTCGCAAAGTTCGGTGCGTGCTTCAACGCCTTTGGTTCATTTTCGATGCCGATGTTAACACGAGGGGGGGACGTGGCCTGTGTATGAATCGATTGCATGTCGCAGTTTGCTCACCACTGGGGTCTCCTCCGCTAGCGACACCCCAGATCGCCCGTTGTTGTCCTCGGTCCGCATCGCGCAGGCCCTCAAGGCCTCCTCTAACGTGCATGTGTGCTTTCCTTGCTACCGCTATCCCTACCCGTGTAGGCTCGTATGCCCTCCCTGCGGCCGTGCTCAAACCACGGGAAGCCTTTTCTCTGTAAGTCTGTTCGCCATGTTGGTTGACTTGAGCCTCTGGCGAGCTAGAGGCGGAACTCTTGGTCGGGGAGAGTGGCCTCGGGTGAATGGTGCCGTGTGTCGTGGCAACGCTTTTCCTCGGTAGCCTGAGCGCCGAAGTCTGGGAGTCGGACGTGGGGTTGGAGTTGGGTGTGTGCTAGCAAAGAGTGGTGTTCAGTAGGCCGGACCTAGATTCCTCACCGCCAGACACACCCACACAATGCATGTTCTGGAACTAATTGGAAAGTGTATCTGGATTCTGTTCTCGGACTGTTGTGTTGGATGCGGTTGGAGGAACCCAAAAGGGCGTATTGACTATTATGCCCTCGGAACGTTCTTGTTCGGGACGTGAGAGGATGTGAAGTTCATCATGGCCCTGTCAACACATACCCGGCAGACTCGAGGTTGACCGGGAGCGACAACTGGTAGGAATAACGCAGAGGGTACACGTGTATAGACTGTTGGAGCAAGACCAGAAGGATACTTCGACACATGAAGACAGTGCAAAAACTATCCGTGAACTTGGCTTCAACCCCACCTGTACTTCCTGGTCGACCGGAGGGCCGCTGCATTGTACCCCCTGGCTCCGTGTCTCGGTGTTGCCGATACTTCTTCTGGAAAGGGTGGGTGCCGCAACAAGGAGCAGGTATCAGCGTAGGACCTAGTACGACCAAACAATCACAGGCGAGACGTGCTGCATCGTCGATCGATCGGGTGCGAATCACGAAAAGCCAAGGAAACAGCGCCACAGTACTGTAATTCCCTGTAGAACCGTCGATGACGACAGCGCCTGCACGAGAATGCCATGACCAGGAATAGCACCACCAAATCGATCTGGCCTTCCTGCTCCGACGAAACCGCGATAACGGCATATCTGACAAGCAAACCGCATACACCACCCGCCATTTAAGTCAGCCAACGATCATTGCTACGGCCGCACCTCGGTGTGGCCGCGGCGCGCTGCTGGTATTCTTTCGTGTTGGTCGATGGGTCAACCCGAGCCGGAGGCGTCTCAGACGTCGGGTCCTCCAGCGCAACCTCCGTTGGGAGGGTCAATGGCGTGGGTATTTGTTCTGGGATGGCCACTGGTGTAGAGTTCTGGGATCCCAACGCCGGACGAGCTTTAGGCTCTGTGTTGGTGTCGGCAAGCCTCGCCCTGGGGGGCGTGCTCGAGAGCGTAGAAACGTGTGCACGCAAACATGTGGACAGTGTTGGGGAGAAAGGATATCTCTGTAAGTGCAGAAGGCGAATGCAGCCACGTATGGCTCTCGGTATTGAGCAGGAACGGCGACTAGTTCGGCCGCGCTGTGGATGGTCTCCGGTCGTTGTGCGGTTCTCCACGGCTGACTCGCTCACCTCCTATCAACCGGCACAGGACATCGGTTGTTTTTGGGTTGAGGAGAACCCCGTGGTGTATCGCCGACTGAGCAGCGGGCAAACGGCGAAGAGGCGGGGGACGAAGAACGATGGGCACTACCGTCGTGATGCCTCCGTGTAGCTCGAGCCTCCCTCTCTAGAAGCGCCTCGAACGCAGCTGTATCGCTGTCGTCGCCGGAACCCCATTCTGAAATGCCCAAGGTAGGGCAGATGGACGGGGCTCGTCAGGGCAGAAGTATCAAATGAAGCAACGTCATTCAGGGCAAATGGGAAGCGACCGAAACAGCCAGCTCGGCCATTTACCTCTACTCCGCATAGGATGTGAGCCAAGACACATCTGAGCACACCGACCGATGATGGGATTCCCAAAACGATGTTTCCCACTGGTACGCGCGACACTCCTGGCCCGGGTTGCGACCCTCGCTACCTTTAGCGAAAGCCAAATAATTGTATTTTTTTGGCGGGGGAAGTGATGCATTCCTATCCTCGCTTCTCTCAACACTGCGCTAAAAACACCCCGTCCTTTGGTCCGTCTTTCGTCCGGTGTCTACAGTGCCCACCTGATTCGAGTTCACTTCTGTCATCCCCATTCAACCCCAGTGCCTGTCCAAATCCAATCTCCGGAGACGAACGAAGGTGCTGAACGGCAGGTGTTGGACCGCCAACACGCAAGAGGGCAAGACAGCCGCTTGTATTGAGCTGCTGATGGCCAGCTTGACAGACGCGGGAGTCCCGATCGGCGCGGAATACCATCCCGGCGAGCACCTCCTCGCTCCGTCGACTTTCGGTCACCTGTCATGCGTGCAAGGGTCGAGCGAGTTGCCAAGAGTATTCGGGCAGCCTACTGCTGGAAAGTCTTCATTGAACTTAGACTTAGTCAAAGGCTCGCAAGCTACTCTGCAGAATATAATGCCGGCACTCAGTCGGTCGTTTGTCCGTGCCAGCGACTCCCTCTGCTGTGGTTTTTCGCTAGCTTGTTTGCAAGAACAGTATTCGGTCGTGAGGGCGCAATCTGAAGCTACAATGACAGAGACACCAACTCACTCGGCGGCGCCTGCGTTTATCCCGCCCAGACACCATGTCTTGTCGCCGGCGTAAGGCCGAGAATAGATCGTCCCGCCTCGGGTCGGGTACTGATACGCCTCTATTTCACATGCGTATCGACGTAGCAAGGACGATTGTTCGTGATTCCATCGATTTGCAGTTTTCGTTTGCAATGGAGGAAATGGATGCCGCTACTGGCGTGCAGGACGCGGCTTCGACTCAGCGATTCGAACGGTTCTTGCTCTTGTAGCACACGCAGTACACCATGCACATATCTTCAGCTGCTACCCAAATGATTCGGTTCATCATAGCGTAGTCTAGTCGCACAGGCAGAGCCGTACATCGCACTCGATGCATAACCGATTCAGTTACAGGGACAAACAACGGCATCGTACAAGAGAACATAGGGTAAAGTGGGATTCATGCGACGAAAGCACAAATGGTATTCCGCCAAGAGAGCCTCTCAGCTTCTTCTGCTGCTGGCCGACGAATAATAGAAGAAGGACGCTGTAGAGTGAAGCGCTCGTAAATATACAAATATAGTACCTGGTAGGTAGAAACAGGAGCTCGTCTGGAGCGATACCAGCTTTGACTTGATCATCCATGAGCTGTCCGATGTCGTGGTATTCGGTGGCTGCCGGGCTTGGTTCACATCCAGGCACTGCGGCGGGGCGAACAGAATAAGGGTGAACGAGGAGGATATCGCACGTTCTTTGACAACTGCCTGCGGTCGAAGCGGGTGCGGTGACATACTGTGGAAAACCATCCTCCGTCTTATTGGCCTTCATTTGCAAGATAACAGATCTCAGGAATGTTGTACTTATGTACTCTTGGCCCGGTCCTGGTGGTGAGTTGTGAAAGGATGTGAAAATATCAAATCTCTACGGGAATATCTTTGATCACAGCAGTCAACCCGGCCGCTTTCAACATGTGTTCCCGTTCTGGGGCAGCGACCCCCAAAACCTCCACACCTTGGGACGAAGATTCATCCCCTATGTGTTTCATCTATATCCGCAGCTTGGCTTGTCCGCATGTCCACACACTGCCTGCCGCAACCACATGCGGATATAGATGTCCAACTCAAGATGACTGCACACCTTTTGGCTCCTTGTCGTGGGGTTCCGTGAATCGTAGATCAGCCCCCCGAACGATCACGATCACTTGAACAACTTTTGACCTTGACCTTGCAACTTCCAACCCATCCAACCCACCACGTTGCGTGTGCCCACAAATTTGCACACCAGCCGTTGCTGCAAGTGGTTGAGCGCGATTAACGGCACGAGATACTCAGCGCACGCTTCGAGCGCAGCACTTGGGAAAAGTTGAAGGAACTTCGACGCGGCGAGATTACAACAGGCAGAGCGGGCCGATGACCCAACGCGGCGCCCCTCGTGAACCGACGAACAACAACAACGACGACGACGACAACAACACTACGGGCATTTCTCCGTTCACGGATAGAAAAGAAAGCATTGGAGCGGCGCTCCTAGTCCACCATCGCGGCGACGAGACTGCTGTCGAAGCACGGAGGCGGCGAAGGACCAGGCTTCGGAATGACGCCGCATTCTGGCTCTTGGGGCTGATCAACAACTCGTCGTATGTGATAATGATGGCGGTCGCCAAGGAAATTGCTCCAGACGCGGTCGGGGTAGTGTTCTTCGCCGATGTTGCCCCGACGATGGTCATCAAGGTGACGGCGCCATATTGGTGAGTTTGCATACCCTCCAACCTGCACACGAATACAATCAACACCACCACGGAAGACTACATACAACACATTACCTGACACCCACAACCGCCGTGTACCTGGATGCTACGATGTCACCACACACCAGACACAAAGGTACTTCCCTGCAGTGTTCTATTTTAGTCATGAGTGTGTTTCTTACTACGCACGCCGTCTGTACAACCTCTACACTACTCCCTCGGAATGGTCCATCTCGCAATGTTGCTGTTTTTCACGGTGTCCAGCGCGGGGATAGCACTTACGTGCGTCGATCTGATTGAACGGCTCGGTCCCTTGTGTCAAGGGGAATTTCTCTGCATATCTGTGGGTGCCAGGTATAGATGATGTTGTGTATCCACAGCAGTGTTGTCTTCATTTGTTCGTCCCATCTATGCTTGACACCAGTATAAACTTTCGGTAATAGCTTCACGCACCAGCCGAGGTCACACAGGAGGGAGGTACACGCGGGATACATTTTGTCTTTCTCCGATACCGAATCAAACACAAAGCATCTTACCGTTACACGCGCCTTGAGTTTCATCTACGCCTTTATTTCTCTGCACTGCTGTGTGTACCACGAAGAAAGATATCCATATTCCCTCTTCCTAGCCGACAAGGTGCATCCCGCCCGCCGTCCTGCTCGCCAGTAGCCCAGCCACTTGCATGCTTCCCGTTCCCAGCCTTCACGAGAGCCTGGAGAAGTCTGACGTCAACGAACATGCATGTGCTTGTACCAGGTTTCACCTCGTGCCGTACAGCGCGCGAGTGTGGGCGTGCACCATGCTGCTGGTGCTGTCACTGGTCACGGTCGGGTACGGGGAATCCACAAGGGTCCAGCTGTTAGGGGTCTGCTTTTCGTCCCTCCAGGCGGGTCTAGGCGAGTCGTCCTTCCTCGCGCTTGCGTCCTTCTACGACACGCCGCGGGCCTTGACGGCCTGGTCGAGCGGCACCGGTTTCGCGGGAATCTTCGGCTACGCCTGGGTCTTCGCCTTGACGTTCGTTCTCGGGCTGTCGTTCCGCGCCACGCTCATGATGGCCAACCTTTTGGGCTTGGTATTTTTGTACGCCTACTTCAAGCTGCTGTCCGCTCCACGCAGCGGCACGCTTCGGAACGGTAGCAGCAGTTTACAGACGCGCAGGGGCAACAGGGCTGCTGCTCCTGATACTTATTCGCCGATTCCATCCTCGCAGCGATCACCCCCGCCCAGCCCGTCGCTTAACGGTCCAAGTGGTGGGGGGGGCGCGGAGTTGTTCTCCAGCAACATCGAGCACGGAAGCAGGGAAGAAGATGGGGGATGGGGGTTGGGAGAGGGAAGGGGTGGGGGGGCGTTGGACGTGGAACTGGTGCCGACCGCATCGGTTCGTGCGCCAGAGATGACGGTGGGACAGCGCCTGTGTTTCACCATTTCCCTCTGGCGCTTCACGGTGCCTCTGATGCTTGTATATTTTGCAGAGGTGAGGGTGACATATCAAGTCATTGGTTGATTTGAGGCAGTATTCGCTCGTGTTCTGCATGCTTGTTAGTCGCTCAGATAGTATCCTGCTTCATCTTGGGGCGTACCGCCACAGCATGCGAGCAATGATTCTCTGCTTTTCTTCTATTTTTGTTTTGCAATATGTATCATGTTTTTTGTTTTACACACTATCGATGTAGCCTCCACTTGTTTAGACGACAACGAAGTTGTTAAACGACTACCAGTTTTTACGCTGCGACCACGTGGGTTTGACGCAGTCGACCGCACGTCAAAACCGTGCGCTATGCGCATGTTTCCACGCGTTTTTCAACATGTTCGCCCAGCCTTTTCGGAGTCGAGCAAGACGCGTGCGATACCTCAAATCTACCGAGTTGTCTCCTCACTCAGCACACCCCTTATCATACCCTCATGTTTTCCCCTGCCGCAACCCCAACAACAACCGGACGACCCATTTTTTGCCACACACACGCACGCGCGCGCGCCCGCGACAATTACCAAATACTTGTATAGTACACGATGCAAACGGGCACGTGGAGCGCCATCGGGTTTCCGGTCTCTTCGATCGCCGCCCGGGAGCGGTTCTACGAGTACGCCAATTGGTGCTACCAGGGGGGCGTCTTCGTGTCTCGCTCGTCGGGGATGGTGGTCCGCCTCTCGCCGCTGATGCTGTGGTCCCTACCGGCGGTCCAGGTAAAAAGACTTGGCTGGCTGTTTGTTTGTTTTTTTGCAGATGGACAGCAGTACGGCGGGTAGACACACTGGATTTTCGGTTGTTTGTTGTCGATCTTCTTTGAGAAGGGGGAGCAGGTTGGGTCAGACAGGTCGCGACCGAATGACGGGTTACTCGTGTCAGACCTTGCCATGTACTCCTGTGTTGAGATGCCGTTTGCTGCTAGGAAAGGGTGGTGGTGGTCGCACTCTGTCAGGAGCTCTGTCGTCCGTAAATCAGGGGTCTGTTTTCTGCAACCCCGAAGGCGGTGTCAATGCTGTCATTCGTACCCTTCGTTAAACTCCATTGCTGCTGTCCTTTTGCTGACGCAGGTGTTGATGCTGCTCTTCTTTTACCTCGTCGCCGTGGAGAAGTTCTGGTACGGGTACGGTCTCCTGTTTCTATGCTTCGGGGTGGGGCTCGTGGGAGGGCTAGGGTACGTCAACGCTTTCAGATTAGTGGCGGAGGCGGTGCCCCCCGAGCTGAAGGAGCTCGCTCTAGCGGCGGCTTCCGTGGGGGACTCGTTCGGGGTGATGTTTTCCGACATTTTTGGAACGTTCGTGCAGGCATGTGTGTACAAGAAGAATGGCATTCCCGGAGCGTGGGCATCGTGCTGATTGCAGGCGCTTTGGTTTTTGGTGTTCGGTAGTAGGTGGAGCACTGTGTTGTCGTTTTCAGGGGAGTCTTGCCTGGTGTTGATCGCTCAGGGTGATGGGAGATAACGCTATCACCTGAAGGCGAAGCGGTGCGATTGGCGATCATTTAATAGCTCGCCATTTTTACGAACATGTTAAGGGTTCACAGCTGCGCCCATGGGGTCGCCCCCGTGATCGTGGTATCCTCACGTCCTTTGGACGTGGGACTGTTTTGAATGCTCGTGTCTGTGTTAGTGTACAACAAGACTCGTCTTTGAGTTCGACTACCTTAGGGTCCATATTTTTTATTTACCTTTCTTAAGGTAGGTTTGCCTGTGACCACGGGAATCGACCGCGTGAGTGTTAGATCAGTAGGGACAGATGAAGGTACCCGGTGCAGAGATCGGAACGGTTTTTAGTGTGAAGACAACAACAACACACAACTGACAGGAACGGATGCCCTTTGAGTCCTTCTCGCGAACAAATCCAGGCATGCATGGCAGAAATGAGTTCTTTTTGTGTGAAGCCGGGCCGCAACTGCGAGTGACGGTTAGATTGGATGGTTTAATGTTGGGGCGAAAGTATGTCTCGGTCGTTCACAGGAATTTGCTTGTTGTGGAGGCACACGTAACTCCTATACCACGCATCAGGTACCGTAAGGTTGCGAGTCAGCGCACAGGGGTGCGATCGATTTTCAAAGCGGAATTTCTCCACAACCAGAAGGGCGCGAGCGCCAACTGATACTTTTGTCAGGAAAGCTCTCGATGAGATATTTCCAAAACCGCCCTTTTCGACAGTGGTAACCTCCTGGTTGTGGAGAAATAACGCTTTGAAAATAGCGCGCACCCCTGTGCGCTGACTCGCAACCTTACGGTAGATTCGATACTCTATTCTGGCTTTTACGCGCACCACCACTTTGGATTCTGTCCCCAACGCATCTCAGTCGGCCTATCGCCATCCTTAGCCGCAGCGCGGCCCATTGTGGCCCCACCGACAATGGTGTCGCTGACTCCGCCTGGTTGATGTTTTGCGTCACGGGGTAGGTGAGTAGATAAGATGTGGGTATGGAGTGGACTTCATTCCAGCCCTGGGCTTTCCTGCCTGCACATTCGGGGCCGTCAACTGCAAGAACTTGCTACGGATCACTCAATCGCGAACAAGACTCTCCGTCCCTTGATATGCTCTCTGCAAAGAAATGCTCTTATTGTTGATTGATGTTCCTCTCGGTTTCCAAGGAAGGGTGGATCTATCGAGGGAACCTCTATTTTCGGAAGAAGTTATACCGAGGGGCCGGAGGCTGCATAAGATACCACACTCACTCCCTCTGGATCGATCATCAGAGCTTGATTACTCTGCACCAAAAATAGCGATGGTGCCGAAAACGGGGACGTTGAAGTCGTTCTCGTCGAGATCTTTGAGAACGTGCATGCATCATTTGATAAGGGAGAAGGATCCTCGTCCGCTACCGTACAGAGTACACGGCGAGACCAGAGCTTTGTTTGAAAATTCGAAAATTCAAAAGTTCCGAGTGAGTCAGAGCTGCGCGTAGCAAAAAAAAAAAGTCAGACGTAAGTAACTGCCAATTCGCACTCTACCGTGCTGTGCAAGCCCCCAGCAGAGCCGCTCCTCCTAGATGAAGCTCTATGGCTGTAAATGTCTCCAATAGCTAGCGATGGACCCAAGCACGAGGAAATTCCATACACCCCAGCGCTAGAACTCAGCAGTGAAAGACCGCAATTCGGCCCCCAAAAAAATGGCAAAAGCGGGAAGCCCCCCAAAACGCGGCGGAACCTCTACCGAGCCGACAGTCCTCCATCGGCCGTTTTGCTTGTATGACGGAGAATAAGAAGGTGGAATTACTTGAAACTAGTATGGAAATAAAGTTTGTGTATCTAAATCGAAAATAAAACGGCCTATGGAGGACAGGCCTAGAGCCGACGGCACTTTCCTGTCGCACACGAGAGCGCGCTGGATACGTTGCAAATTCGCACGAAACTTGGCAGGAATACCAACTGTTGGATGGAGAGCAAGATGGCGCATCCTTGCACTGACGTGTTCCACGTAGCCGGCGAAGGGGACGGGTTTAGTTGAAAAATGGCATCTACGCGCAGGCGTCATTCATGCTCATGGTGTCTCATGTCTGTACACAACAGGATATACCTCGCACCTTGTAGCTGCCTCTTTCGCGGATGTACAGCACTTTGAATTAGGTTGCATCATGCATGCTGTATAGGCCGAGTACGCGTAATCGGCGCGCACCATGGTTTGCATTGGAACCACCTGTCTGTCTGTCTGTATGTATGTATGTACGATGTTGTTGTTGTTGTTGCACCGCGAAACTGCGGGACAACCAATAATAAGAAGAGCCCAGTTCCCCCTTATTATAATAGTTTTTTTTTTGCGAAAAGTGTGGCCCGTTAGGGGTACGCTTTTTTTTTTTTCTTAATATGACACAACGAGTCCATCTCCATCATAGAAAAGAGTCAGAGACAGATTAACAATGGAATCATAGCGTTAGAGAAAACTACCTGTCTGTGTGTCTACGATTTCCCAGACAGCATATAGGGACATCTCNTTTTTTTCTTAATATGACACAACGAGTCCATCTCCATCATAGAAAAGAGTCAGAGACAGATTAACAATGGAATCATAGCGTTAGAGAAAACTACCTGTCTGTGTGTCTACGATTTCCCAGACAGCATATAGGGACATCTCCCCTGTGGGTAACAGGCTCAACAAATCAGTTTGGTAGCTGTCTTGTGTGTCTCATATATATATGTTATGTTGGGAAGGTGCAGACGAAAGGTGTTGGGTACTGTTGGGTAGTCGGGCGTTTTGTGTGTCGCACCCTATTAGTTCTAAGACATGCAATCTCCATCAGTTTACAAACATATTCTCAGTTTGGTGTGCATGCATATATATATATCTAGACTATGTGCGGAGTATGTGCGGCTGATGTGCCCTCTCTATCATAGAAAAGAGTCAGAGATAGATTAACAATGGAATCATAGGGTCAGAGAAAACTACCTGTATGTCTATTATAGACGATTTCCTAGACAGCATATAGGGACAACTCTCGGGTGACAGGCTCAAAAGATCAGTTTGGTAGCTGTCTTGTGTGTCTCATATATGTTATGTTGTGGAATTTCATGTCGTTAAATGTGAGAAGGGCACGGGAGAAATTTTCTCATCATTGCCTCCTGATGACGTGGTCGCCGATAGAGGCGTGTGGTTGATGAGGTTTCATAACCGACATGTGGGTGTGTGTTAAATGCAGTGGGTGTGTTCACCTCTCTCGTCCGTGTGTAGGCAGGAGGTATGGCTACCTCTCCCATTTGTAGGCAGCGTGGACCATACTTGTAAATATAGACAGAGTTCATCATTTCATGCATGTTACATCATTTGTGTTTGACAAGGGAGGAATGAGAGGTTGTGCGTATGGGTACGGGGGTACTCCCTGTGTCCGTGTTGTTCCCAGATGTTGCCGCATCAAGTGGCAGCATGTGTCATGGACAGGTAGACGTGGAAGGACGGCGACAGGTGAACGGCAGCAGCAGTAGTATGTTGTGCATGGTGACATGTTGGGCTTAGCTTGTGCAGAGGCGCAGTCCATCTTCGACCACACACAAAGGAGTTTGCTCGTACCTGTGGGGATTTTTCGAAGTCCTGGGTCAGCCAAGAGCAGCAGCAAGGAGCAAACGCAGTGCAGTATACTCTACAGCTTTACAGTCCGTCCTCCTCAAGTCCTATCGGAGATGA